GACGCTGATTGGTTGGCTGGTGGCTGGCCAAAATGCTGATTGGCTGGTTGAAGTGCTGGTTGACTGTCATTGGTCAGTCTGGTTGGTTGGTCAGGGCTCTGATTGGCTGGACAGGGGGTGAGCAGGGCTCTGATTGACCAGGGGAACTGGACTGGGGGCAGTGGGCCCATCACAGGGTTTGGGGGGGATGGGGGTTGGGTGGGGTCAGGAGGTCACAGGGGGGCACAGGTGACCCCAGGGCCAGGAGCAGCGGGATCAGGGTGGGGTTTGAGGGGTCCCCATGCAGAGTGAGGGTCCCTGTGCTGGGGGGCGTTAGGGGACATAACTGTGACAGGGTGGGGGTATCTGTGCTGGGGAGTGTCTAACGTGCCCCCCATAACCCTCCCTCTCTCTCCCCCCACGCTGCAGCTTCACGGTCCTGCCATGTAAGTACCTACTCACCTCCCCCCCCCTTCCGTGGGTCTAAGGGGTCTCTTGCTGGGGGAGACCCCCCCTCTTTGCCCCCCTGAATGGAGCTGGGAGGTTTGGGGGGGCAGGGGGGGCACCCAGCTGGGATCTGATGGTCCTGGTGGCAGTGGGGGGGGGACAGGGCAGGGGGGTTTGTGGGTTCCCCCCAGGGGGGATTTGAGAGTACCACACCCCTCAGGTGAGGGTTGGGGGTCCCCCTCTGGCCTCTCTGTGCCCCCAGTGACGAGAGGCGGCTGCACTGAGGAGGGGCCCCCCCGTGCCAGCGCCCCCCGCCCGGAGCCCGCGGGGACCCCCCCGGCCCCCCGACAGCGTCGCTGCTAATGCTGCACCGGGACCCCCGAAATGGGGGGGGGGCCCCAACTCCCCCCCCCGAGCACAGGGGGGTGTGGGGACCCACAAACCCTCCCAGAATGGGGGGGGCAGGGAACCCCTAAATCCCCCCGGGGCACCATGGGGGGTGTGGGGACCCCCTGAGCCCTTGGAAATGGGGGTGCAGGGACACCCAAACTCCCCCCCCGGGCACCACGAGGCTGTGGGAACCCCCCCAAACCTCTCTGGAAATGCAGGTTCGGGGACCTCATGAAATGCCCCAGAAATGGGGGGCGGGGACCCCCCCAAATTTCCCTCAAACCCTCCCTGGCACTGCAGAGCTTCGGGGGGAAGGGGTATCCCTCTGTACCCCCAGAGCCGGGAAGAGGGGACCCCCCGAGCACCAAGGGGACCCCTCGAGCACCAAGGGGACTCCCCAGCACCAAAGGGACCTCCCACCGTCTGGGGGGACCCCACAGCACCCCGGGGACCCCACAAAGGCCTGTGGCCCCCCCCCAGTGCGGGGGGACCCCGGAGCCGCTGTATCCAGGGGTCAATAAAGTCACGGAGCATCGGAGCCTCTTGGGGTGGCCCTGGGCCTGATTTGGCCCTGCCCCTGTCCCTGGTCCGGTCACTATCCTGGCCCTGACCCTGTCACTGCCCCTGGCCCTGGTCCTGTCGCTGGCCCCGGTCCTGTCCGTGTCCCCGTCCCTGTCCATGGTCCTGGCCCTGTCCCCGTCCCTCACCCTGGCCCTGGGCCTGTCCTTGGCGCTGTCCGTGCCCGCTGTCCCATCCCCATGCCCGTCCCTGTCCCTGCTGGTGACACGGGATGGCACACACATGGCACGGGGTGACACACGTGCCAGAGGTTGGCACACACATGTGGCACAGGGTGGCACACCCGGCGGGGCCTGGCACGGCCCGGGGACAGCTCTGTCACCCTGGGCACAGCCTGGCGGGGGCCGCCCACCTGGGCACGTGTTTGCACCCCACAGTGTCCCCCCATGTCCCCTCCGTGTCGCCCCCGGGCTCTGTGGGGGACCGCAGGGCTCGGGTGGCAGCAGTGGGGGGAGGTGGGACCCCAGATGTGGGACCCCCTCCCCCCCCGATACAGGACACCAAGCGTGACTCTCCCAAAGTGAGACCCTGCCCAATGTGGGACCCCCAAAATGGGAGACCTCCATATGGGGCCCCCCAAATATGGGCCACCCCTCAAAATGTGGGCCACCCCCACATGTGACTCATCTCCCCCAAGTGTGGGGCCCCACTGAGATGTTGCCCCCTCCCCCCCCCTCAAAATTTGGGAGACACCCCCCAAATGCAGGATATTCCGCTCTCCAAATGTGGGAACCCCCCCCAAAGATCAGATACCCCCTAACCCTAATCCCCACCCAAATATGGGACATTCTCCCCACCATGTAGAAAACCCCCCAAGTGTGGGACCCCCCAGCTATGGACCCCCTCGAAATGTGAGACCACCCCCCCAAATATCGAATCCCAAATGTGGGACCGCCTAAACCTGGGAACCCCTCAGCTGTGAGACACCCACCCCTAAATGTGGGAACCTCCCAAGTCTGGGTCCCCCCCATCGCAGACCCCCCACGCTCCAGCCGCGCCGAGCAGCCCTGCAGGGTCCTGGTGACTGCGGGGCGGGGGCTGGGGGTCGTGGGGCCCTGGGGTGGGAGGGGAGGAGGAGGAGGAGGAGGAGGCGGAATGGGGCTTGGCCTGCCCCTCCTGCCGCTGCCGCCGCCGGGGCCGGGCCGGGGCTGGAGCCGCCGCCGAGGCCGGTGGGTGCTGGGGGCGGGGGCGGGTTTGGGGTGCGGGGTGCTGAGGGAGCGAGGGTGCCCGGGGTTGGGGTGCCCAGGCTGCGGGGGCACCGTGGTCCCGCTGCCTGGGGGTGGGGGGCGATGGGTGCTGGTGAGCCGGGTTTGGGGGTGCGGGGGATTTGGGGTGCTGGATTTGGCGGTGGGAGTGCCCGGTGTTGGGGTACCCAGGGCTGCGGGGTCCCGGCTGCCTGGGGGTGGGGTGAGCTGGTTTTGGGGTGCGAGGGGTTTAGGGGTGCTGGGGGTGCCGGGAGGGGGTTTGGGGTTGCGGGGCTGCCGGGGCGGAGGTACCCGCGCGTTGGAGTCCGCGGGGTGCGGGGTCTCGAGGATCGCGGCTGCCTGGGCGTGTGGGGAAAGCGAGCCGCGGTTTGGGGGTGCCGGGGTTTGGGGGTGTCCCACAGCAGCCCCCACGACTGGAGCCACCTCCCTACCCCCGTGACACCCCGCGCGCGCTGTCCCGCACACGCGCTCACACGCCGTCACGCGCGGCACACGTGCGCTAGCACCCACGCGCGGGGAGCGGGGGCGTGCAAACGGGGGCGGGGGCGCTGGGGGTAGGCACAGGGGTGTGCAAGGGCTGTGTGCGGGGGGACACGTGGTGTGAAGAGGGGTGTGCGGGGGCGTGCTCGGCTAGGGGTCCACGCGGGGTGCCCACAGGTGTGCACGGCTGGCAGAGCACCGGCGTGCGGGGTCGGGGTGTCCGGGCGTGGGCACGGGGGTGGGTGGGTGTGCGGGGAGGGGCTGCAGGGTCGGGAGGAGGATAAGGGAGGTGTGCACAGTTGGGGGTGCACAGGGGGGCGTGTGCGGTCAGGAGTGTGCGTGGGTGTGCAAGGAGGGATGCAGGGCTGGGGGTGCACAGGTGGGGGTGTGAGCAGGTGTGAGCAGGTGTGTGCAGGTGCGTGCAGGGTGCCCACACCCCGGGCTGTGCCCCTGCCCTGGCCGGTGCGACCCTCCCCCCCGCGCTGTTCCTGTCACACGCGTGGGCACACCGAGGTGTGGGGGGGGCGGGTGTGCGTGTGCGGGGCTTGTGCGAGTGAGACCCACGGGGGGCGCCGGGGGGTCGTGGGCACCGCAGTGGGAGTTCCCAGTGCGGGGTGTCCGGTGGGGAGGGGGGGTGCCAGGTGCCGCGGGGAGCAGTGGGGTCCGCGGGTGTCAGGTGCGGGAGTGTCCTGTGGGCGGGGGTGGCACCTCCGGGAGGTGACGAGTGCTGGGGGTGGCAGGTCCGGGAAGTGTCTTTGGAGGGGCTGGCAGATCCAGGGGTGTGACAGGTCCGGACGGGGGTCGGGTGCGGGAGTGTCCTGTGCGGGGGTGGCGGGGTCCCCGCGTGTCCCGCGTGTCACATCGCATCCGTCGTCCCCGCGCCGCCGCCGCCCTGACGGGCGCGGTGTCAGCCCGCGGCGACAGCCCCTGTCACCGCGATTAGGGACCTGGCGCGGGCGGGGGGGCTCTGGGGGAGGGGACACCTCCGCAAGCCCCCGTAGCAGCCCGCGGGGGGGGATGTGGGGCGGCCCCGTGTGCCCCCCCGTCCCCGTGTGCCACCGCGGGACCTGGGCTGCTCCTGTCCCCGCTTGGGGGTCTCCCGTGTTCCCTTGGGTTCCTGTAACCCCAGGTGCTCCTGTCCCATCCTTGGGGGACTGCTGTGTCCCCCCAGTTGCTCCTGTCCCCCCAGGTGTTCCTGTCCCTCCCTCAGGTGCTCCTGTCGCCCCCCTCCAAGTGCTTCAGTAGCAAACTGGGAGTAGTCCTGTCCCCCCTTGAGGTGCTTCTGTCCCCTCTTTGGAGGACTGTTGTGTCCCCCAGGTGCTCCTGTGTCCTCTCCGGGTGCTCCTGTCCCAAACTCGGGGTGCTCCTGTTCCCCCTTGGGGTACTTGTCACCACCTTGGGGTGGTCCTGTCCTCCCCCCCAGATGCTCCTGTTCCCCCGTGGGGTGCTCCTGTTCCCTCCCCTGCCAAGTGCTCTTGTCCCCAAGTGCTCCCGTTTCCCCCCGGGCTTCTCCTGTCCCCGCAGGTGCTCCTGTCCCCAGGTGCTCCCGTCCTCGCCTTGCTCCTGTCTTGCCCCAGGGTTCTCATGTCCCCCCCAGGTGCTCCTGTCGCCTCCCCGCCCCGAGTGTTCGTGGGACCGGGGATGCCAGGGGAGGGCTCTGGGGTGTCCGTGCTCCCGGGGGCCTATGGGATGCCCAGGGGTTGGGGGTGCCGGGAGGGGCTCTCTGGGGTGCTGGGGGTTCTCTGGGGTGCCGTGGGGGTGTGACACCCCTCTCGCCCCTCTCCGCAGCCGCTCCCGCCGCCCCGATGTCCCCGAGGTCCCCCGTGGCGGGGGGGGCCGCCCCCCGCCTGCTGCTGGCCCTGCTCTGCCTGGCACCCCCTGCCGCCGCCCCCTGCCCCCAGCAGCCCCCGGACTCCCTGGCCCTCACACGCCCCACAGCGACTCCCTGTCCTCTCCCTCAACCTCGGCCTCAACTTCAAGATCAAGGTGCGAAGCCAAGGGGGGCCGCGCCCTCTCACGACCCCAGGGGCCCCCAAGACTCCGGGGTCCCCCCGGACCCCCGCGCCCCCCACCCTGCCTGAACCCGGAGATGAGCAGGGCTCCGCGACCACCCTGGAGGAAGCGGGGGGCTGGGGGGGCCCCTCTGGGCGGGGGCGTACGACCCCGCCCGAGGCGCCCCCGGGACAAGCAGCTGGAGCTGGACATCGCCATCGACCTGACGGCGGGGCTGGACCCCCCCGCGGGGGGGGCTGTGCGCCCCACAAGCCTCCTGAGGGGCTCCCCCGGAGCCCCCCGGTTCCTGCCCGGGCTCTCGGAGCTGGCCGGGAGGCTCAGCGCAGCCGGTGAGTGCCCGCGGCCAGCTGCGCCCTCCCCGGGCCCCCTTCCCCCCCATATCTGAGGGACCCCGCAATATCTTTGTACCCCCCAGGGTTCCTGTTTCCCACGGTGTCCCCCAAGATCGGCCCCGAGGGGGACAACGGGTCCCTGGAGCTGGAGGAGACCGGGAGTGGCGACGAGCCAGGTGAGGGGAGGCGGAAAGGGGGGTTGGAGACTGGGTGGGGGCGAGGGTGTGGAAGGGCTTGGGGAGTCCGGTGTTTGGGATGTCCTGGAGGTTTGGGGGAGATCTGGGGGAATGGGGGTTCGTTGGGTTTGGGTGGAGTTCCTGGGGCAATGGAGGGTCCTGGAGCAAGGGGGTGGGGTTTGGGTGTGGCCCAGGGAAATGGGGGCCCTGGGCGTTGGGGGAGCCTGGAGTCATGGGGGTCCTGAGTTTTGGAGACATCCTGGGGGTCGAGGGTGCCCTGCATTTAGTGGGGGCCTGGGGAAATGGGCGCTTCCAGGGCAGCGAGGGGGTCCTGGGGTTTCGGGGAACCTGGGGAAATGAGGGTTCGTGGGATTTGCGGGAGTCGTGGAATTTTGGGGGCCTGGGGCACTGGGGGATCTGGGGGAAATGGGAGGGTCCTGGGGGGGGTGGTTTGGGAGGGGGCTAGGGCCTGTGGGGAGCCTGGATGGATGGAGGGTCTGGAGAGTTCAGGGGTCTTGCCACCCCAAAATCCTTTGTGGGATATGGGGATGTGTACGAGTGGCACGGGGAGGGCGTGGGGGAACAATGGGGGTTCAGGGTGACCCCAGGGTGTGGGGCCCCCACCCTGATCCCCCTCTCCACAGCCCTCCCCGGGGCCGCCAGCCCTCCTGGGGGCTGCGCCCCCGCCGCCGCCTCCGCCTGCACCCCGGATCCGCCTGCGGCTCGGGGGGCCGGACCCTCAAACCCCTCCACGCCCCCTTCTCCTGGCCCCCCCACTTCATCCCCCTGGAGACCCCCTGGCCCGAGGCCGCCGCGCTCTGGGGCCCGGCCTGGGAGGGCCACGTCTACGGGGCGGGGGCCGCCTTCACCTTACTGGGCTTACTGGGCGTAGTGGTTCTGCTGGGGGGGCGCCGCCCCCCCCTGGCGCGGGTGCTGGGGGGGCTCCTGGCGGTGTCGGGGTTCGCCCGCGCCTTCCCCCTGTTCTTCGACCCCTACGAGGTGGGGGGGCGGCTGCCCCGCCGCCGCGCGGCTCCTCTTCGAGCTGCCCTACCCGTGCCTGGGCTGGGGGCTGGCGCTCGCCCCCCCCGCCAGGGGGGTCCCTGTGCTGGGGGTCCTGGCGGTGCTGCACCTGGGGGGGGCCCTGGGGGCGGTGGGCGCCGTGGCGGCTCTGGGGGGGCCCCCGGCGCTGCTGCTGCTGCCCCGGGCGCTGTTCGGGGCTCTGGCGGCCGCGCTGGCTCTGGGGGCTCTGGGGGCTGCGGCGCTGCAGGGGGCCGCGGGAAGCGGGGAGGGCGCGCACGAAGGTCCCGCGGCTGGTGGGGGCGGTGGGGGCCGCGCTGAGCGCGGGGCTGCAGCTCTTCGGGGCTCTGCAGGTCTGGGGGTGGGGGGTGAGCCCCCCCCCGGGGCCCTGGGCCTGGTGGGGGCTCCAGCTCGGGGGTCGCGTGGCCGAGATCGTCATGGGCGCGGCGCTGGCGGCGTTGGCTCTCGTGGCCCCCCCGAAACGCCGCGGCACCTCCAGAGACCCTCCCGAGCCGTCCGAGGGCGGCGGGCGGGGAGGGGAGGAGGCAGGGGGACCCCCCGAGTCCCCCTTCGAGTGTGACGGGGACCCCACGGCCGGGTACCGACCCCCCTCCCCCATCGACCTGCGCCGCTCCATCGACGAGGCCTTGGGAGCGCCGGGAATGTTCCGCATCGGGAACGGCGGGATCGGGGGCACTGGGAGCACTGGGAATACCGGCAGCAGCGTTATTCGGAGCACTGGGAACGCTGGGAAGGCCAAGAACAACGGAATCAGCATCCTCGGTGGCTCTGGGAAAACCGGGAGCAATGGGAGCACCGGGATCAGCGTCATCAGCACCACCGGGAACACTGGGAACACCGGGAACACCGGGAACAGCGGCACCAGCACAACGGCGTTACCGGGGGTCGGCACAACCCAGGGCACGGGCACTACGGGTGTGACTGGGAGCGGCAAGGCCGGAACGCCGGGAACCACCACGGTTGGAACGCCGGGAACCACCGCCGCTGGAATACCGGGAACCACCGCAGCTGGAACGCCGGGAACCACCGCCGCTGGAATACCGGGAACCACCACAGCTGGAATACCGGGAACAACCACCGCTGGAACTGCCGGGGCTGGTGGCGCCGGCACGGAGGGGGGTGGTACAGCAAGCACAGCCGGCACACCTAGCACAGGTAGCACACCTGGCGCAGCTGGCACAGCCGGTACACCTGGCACAACCAGCCCACCTAGCACAGCTGCTACACCTGGCACAGCTGGCACAGCTGGCACAGCCGGCACAGCCAGTGGGACGGAGCTCAGCCTCCCCGGCCCTCCTGGCACAACTGGGGGCAGCGGAACAGGAACACCAGGAACTGGCACCGCCGGCACACCTGGGACACCTGGGACACAGGTACCAGGCACCACGAGCACCACCAGCACAGCTGGCACAGCTGGAACACAGGGTCCTGGCACTCCGGGCACAGCAGATCCCAGCACAGCTGGCACAGCCAGCACACAAGGTCCCACCAAACCTGTCATACCTGGCGCCGCTGGCACACCTGGAACGCAGGGTCCTGGCACCCCTGGCACAGCAGATCCCGGCACAGCTCGCACAGCTGGCACAGCCGGCACAGCTCGCACAGCCGGCACACAGGGTCCTGGCACTGCTGGGACACGGAGGCCGAGCACCCCTGGAATGGCAGATCCCGGCACAGCTGGCACAGCTGGCACAGCCGGCACAGCTGGCACAGCCGGCACACGCGGGCCTGGCACGCGGGGTCCCCCCACCGCCCCCCGCCCCTCTGGTCTGTCCCGCACCGCCTCTTTGGGGGGCCCTTCCGCGGGGTCCCCGGGGGCGCGGGGAGGGCCCCGGGGAGGGGGCCCGGGGGCCGGGGACGCCCTCCCCGGGGACTGGCCCGGGGGCCGACCTCAGCACCCCCGGCGGGGATCCCCGGGGCAGCGCCCCCGCTGCGACCCTCCCAGAGCTGGGCCGAGGGGACCCCCGGCCCCCTACCCCCCAGGCCCACGGTGGGGGGGTCCCCGGGCCCCCCGGGGACAGCGACAGCCGCAGCCCGGGCAGTGACACCATAGACTTGTAGGGTGCGGGGGGACCCCCGAGGCGCCCCCCAACACACCCGGGAGGGGCAGCATCACCCAGGGGAGCTGTGGAGAGACCCCGGCCCGGCCACCCCGGCCAGGGACCCCAGGACCCCCTGAGACCCCCAAATAAGGGTGACAACCTATGGACCCCCAAGTACCTGAGATCCCCCAAGTGCTGATGACAATCTGGGGACCCCCAAGATGTCCCCCCAGGTCACCAAGACCCCAAAATACGGGTAACAAGCTGCCCCCCCCCATGTCCTTGAGACTCCCCCCCCCCAAGTGCTGGTGCCAAGCTGGGGATCAACCCCTCCCCAGCATCCTGAGACCCCCAAGAAAGGGTGACAACCCAGGGACCCCCAAGTTCCTGAGATCCCCCAAGTGCTGGTGACCACATGAGGACCCGCCCCCCCCCCAAGTTCCTGAGACCCCCAAATAGGGGAGACAAAGTGCCCCCCAAAAGGACCTGAGACTCCCAAATACGAGTGACAACGTGGCCCCCCTCCACATCCTCGAGACTCCCGAGTGCTGGCGACAATTTGGGAAACCCCCAAGAGCCTGAGACCCCCAAGTGCAGATGCCAACCAGACCCCCCATCATGTCCTGGAGACCCCCAAGTGCTGACAATGACCTGGGGACCCCCCACCCCCCACCCCCAAGTCCCGGAGACCCCCAAATACGGGTAATAAACTGTCCCCTCTCCCCCATGTTCTTGAACCCCCAAGCGCTGGTGCCAATCTGGGCCCCCCCCAGCTGCCCCCTAAGTCCCTGAGACCCCCAAATAGGGGTGGGAACATGGGGACAGCCCTAAGTCCCCCGAGTCCCCCAAGTACAGGTGCCATTGTGGGGACCCTCAAGTCCCTGAGCCTCTCAAGTGCTGATGACAATCTGGGGACACCCCAGTCCCCCCACAAATCCCCGGGACCCCCAAATACGGGTAACAAACTGCCCTCCCATCCATGTTCTCGAGCCCCCCAAGTGCTGGTGCCAATCTGGGGACCCCCCCAGGCATCCCCCAGGTCTCTGAGACCCCCCAATACGGGTAACAAACTGCTCCCCCCCAATTCCTGAGCCTCCCAAATGCTGGTGACAATCTGGGGCCCCCTGATATCCCCTCGCGGCCCTCCCCACGGGCCCCCAGTTCCTCCTCCGTGTACCCAATAAAGTGCCACGTGCGAACAATGTGTGTGACCCCTGAGACCCCTGACCCTCCCGGATGGACCCCTGAGAGCCCCCAGCCCTGTGGTGGGACCCCCATACACCCCTGACCCCCGGATGGAGTGCCCTAAATCCCCCTGGCCTCCCTCCCCAGGATGGGCCCCCAACCCCCCTCTCAACCCCACCAGAATGAGACCCTCGAACTCCCAGACCCCTCCTGGGACCTGTTATGGGTCCCCCAAGCGTCCCAGCCCCCCCGGATGGGACCCCCTGAACTTCCCTCCCACAGGACGGGACTCCCCCCGAACTCCCACAACCCCTCAGGCCCCTGATCTGGGACCCCCCAAGCCCTCCTGATCCTCTCGGATGGGATAGGGCCCCCCGAGCCCCGCCATGAAAGGGGCCCCCCATGAAAACCCCAGGCCCCTTTAATATGGGACCTCTGAGCCCCCCTTTAGCCCCACTAGAATGGGACTCCCAACTTCCTCCTGAACCCCTCCTTCATGGGATCCCCGACCCCCTTGACTCCCCTCCCGCATTTTGGGACCCCCTCGGTTCCCACCCGTCCCGGGTCCTCCCACGCTGCAATTCCTGCCTCTCCGCCGGGGCTGCTCTGGCCCCGCCCTCTTCCTGGGCCGCCCTGCCCCTCGCCCCGCCCCTCGCCGGGCCAAGATGGCGGCGCCCAGCGGCCGCACGGTGCTGGTGCGGGGCCTGCCCCCGAGCGCCACCGGCCCGCTCCTCGAGCGGCTCTTCGGGACCCTCGGGCCGCTCCGACGCTGCTTCGTGGTCACTGAGAAGGGTCGCGCCGGCGGGGGCGGCCGAGGGGGAGCGGGTGGCGGGAGATGAGGGGCGCACTGGGTTCCGGGGTGGGTGATGGGTGGGGGTGTTGGTGCCGGGGGGCTCGGTGGGGCTCGGTGGGGCGGGAGGGGGTTCGGGAGCTCGAGGGGTGCTCGGAATTTAGGGGTGAGGGAGGCTGGCGGGTCTGGGAGCGGGTTTTGGGGGGGAGCTGAAGGCATTGGGGTCTGAAGGGCCGGGAGGGGTTGAGGGGATTTGGGTCGGGAGGGGCTGGGGAGCTTGGGGTCAGGGTTTGGGGGGTCTAGAAGGGGTTAAGGGGGTTGGGATCGGAGTTTGGGGAGTCTGGAGGGATTCAACCGGAGTGTTGGAGGGCTGGGAATGGGACTGGGGGGGTCTGAGAGGGAGGGATGCGGCCAAAGGGGGCTGAGATTGGGGTCTGAACGGACCGAGAGGTCCGGGGGGTTTGGGAGTGGGGTTTGGGGGGAGGCTGAGTTCTGGGACGGGAAGCTTGGGGATGGTCTGGGTGGTCCTGGAAGCGAGATTTGGAGGGGAGCTGAGTCTGGGAGGGCTGGAGATCTGTGGGAAGGGGACGAGAGTGGGAAGGGCAGGACTGGGAATTTCGGGGAGCGGGCGTTTTGGAGGGAGCAGCAATTAGAGGGGACAGAAGTTTGGGGGTCAGGAATTTGGAGGGGCAGGACCCAGCGGAGGGTGGTCCGTGAGGCTGTTTGGGGGGCTCAGCCCCTCATTGCCCCCTCCGGCTCCTCCCCCCCAGGCTCCCCAAAATGCCGCGGGTTCGGCTACGTGACCTTCTCGCTGCCGGAGGACGCCGGGAGGGCCCTGCGGGATCCCCCCGAGCTGGAGGGGCGGCCCCTGGGGGTGTCCCTGGCCCGACCCTGCCCCAGGACGGGCAGGGGGCCGCGAGGGGGGCAGGGGGGAGAGGGCGAGGCGGGGGAGCCCCCCTCGGAACCCTCCCGGCCGAAGAAGCCCCGGCCGCCCTCCCGCAAGGCCCGGCTCATCCTGCGCAACCTCAGCTTCCAGGTGAGGGGGCAGGGACCCCCCCCCAGGATCCCACAGGGACCCCAAACAACCCAGGGACCCTCCCCAGTGCCCCTGACACCCCCAGGAACCCAGACATCCCCAGGGACCCTCACAGGCAACCCCCCCTTCCCCAAAGACCCCCTCTGAGCCCCCCAGCACCCCACAGATCTCCCTCTTCCCCAAGGGTCCCCCCAATGCCCCTGTTTCCCCAGTGGCTCCTTATTCCCCAGGGACCCCCTTCCCCACCATCCCACAGTCCCCCCCAGTGCTCCCCAATTGCCCCCAGTGATCTCCAACCCCCTGCCCCCCCAAATCTCTGATTTGCCTTATGTTTAGGCTCTCAGGAGCCCCCAGTCCTCTCAGAGACCCCCCAACCTCCCCTGACACCCCTTTGTGGCCCCCTAACCCCTTGTGACCCACCTGACCCCCTGTCCCCCTCTGTGACCCCCACAGTGCTCCGAGGACGAGCTCCAGGCTCTCTTCACTCCCTTCGGCTCCGTCCTGGAGCTGAACATGCCCCGCAAACCTGGTGAGACCCCCTGGGCTGAACCCCACCCTGACCCCTTTGGGTGCCCCCCCAGGCTGGGGGGCTCCCCAAGGGGGCCCATGGCCTCATCCTTTTTGCGGGGGGGCTCTCACAGATGGGACCCCAAGAGGCTTCGCCTTCGTCCAGCTCCGGAACGTGCGGGAGGCGGCGGCGGCGCTGGGGGGGCTCAACGGGGCCCAGCTCCGAGGTGGGGGGCTGGGATGGGCCCTGGGGGGCTTGGGAAGGCTCAGTGGGAGCGGGAGCAGAACTGGGAGGGTCGTGGGGGGCCCCAGGGGGCTTGGGGGCTCAACAGGACCGACATCAGAGATGGGGGGGAGAATTAGGGGATACTGGGGGTGTCCCAGGAGGGAGATCAGAGGTTTGGGGGATCCTGCGGGGGGGATGTTGAGGTTGCTGACAGGGTTATGGGAGGGGGGAACGTGGGGTGGGGGTCTCTTGGGGAGTTGGGGGACATGGAGGGTGGGTCCCTCAGGAATGGGAGGCACTGATTCCCCCCCGTCCCCCTCAGGGCGGCCCCTGGCTGTGGACTGGGCTGTGGCCAAGGACAAGTACCAGGCGACACAGGGACCCCCCAAAACCTCTGGTGAGACCCCTAAACTACCAACCCCCCTCAAGACCCCCAGAGGAGACCCTATAACCCCCCAGGGACCCTGCAAAACCCCTGGTGAGACTCCAACCCTCCCTAAGCCATCTGACATCCCCCCAAACCCTCTGGATGAGACCAACAAACCCTTGGTGAGAGACCCCCCCAATCACCCCCAAACCCCCTGTACCTCTGGTGAGGGACCCCCAGGGACCCCTAAGCCCCCCCAAACCCCAGTGAGGGACCCTGAAACCCCCCCCAAACCCCTAGGGAAGGATACCCAAGCCCCTCAAGCCCCTGCCCAGACCCTTGGTGGGGGCCCTGAAACCCTGGGGAGAGGCTCCAGGTGCCCCTCTGAAGATTTTTGGGTGGTGGTGCCCACCCCAATGATTTTGGAGGGGCAAAAGGGGGTGAGAGGGGGTGACTGTCCCCCCCCTCACCTTGTGTGACCTTGTAGGGGGGGTAGAGGAGGAAAAGAAGGAAGAAAAGGATGAAGAAGAGATGGAAGAGGAAGAGAAAGAAGAAGAAGATGAAGCTGAAGAGGAAGAAGAGGATGAGGAAGAAAAGGAGGAGGAAGAGAAGGATGAAGATAAACAAGAGAATGAAGATGAAGAAGATGATAAAGAGGAGAATGATGATGATGAAGATGAAGAGGAGGATGAAGATGAAGAGGAGGATGAAGATGAAGAGGAGGATGAAGATGAAGAGGAGGATGAAGATGAAGAGGATGAGGAGGGTTTGTTCTGCCCTGGCAGTGGGGGCTTGGCTGGGGTTGGGGGGGCTCTGCCAGCATCAAGGGAGGCTTCCTGGGGCTCTGGAGTGCCTGAGGGGAGGGTTTGGGGGCTTCTGGGGGAGGTTAGGTGGCACTGGAGGAGCTTTTGGGGTCTGTGGGTTTTTGTGGGGGGATCTGAGTGTGCTTCTTCAGGGTGATGGGTGGTTTGGGAGTCTTGGGGGTCTTGGGGGTGGGGGAGGGTTTGGGGGGCAGGGGAGTTTCTGTCGGATCTGGGAAAGGTTATTGAGGGCTAGGGTGACTTCTGTGCTGGGGGTGTCTTTCTTTGGGGGCTGGGGGTTCCTGGGGGTTCCCAGGTATCCCAACCCCCTCCCCAAACATTGCAGAGGGGGTACCCCCCCCAAAGCGGGTGAAGGGGGGGCGGCCGCGCCCCTCGGACGTGGGCGAGGGCAGGACCGTCTTCATTCGGTGAGTTGGGGAGGGCCCCATAGATGGGTGGGCTCTGGGAGGAGGGTGGGGAGGCACCCCAGGACCCCCCTAACTCCCCAAATCCCCACAGGAACCTCTCGTTCGACACCGAGGAGGAGACGCTGGAGGAGACCCTGCAGAGGTTTGGGGGGGTCACCTACGTCCGGCTGGTGCTGCACCCCAACACGGGGACCCCAAAAGGTGGGGGGGGCTGGGGAATGGCAGGGAGGGGGCCTGGAGGTGGCACCTGCTACTGCTGCACCCTAAACCCCAGTGCCCCTGGGAGGGAGGGCTGGGGGGCTCTGGGACCCCGCAGAGCTTGGTCAGGCCTGCCTTGTACCCTGGTTGTGGGGGGTTGTCTTCACATGTTTGGGTAAGAGGGTTAATATTCCATAATTCGGGGTGGATTTCTACACTGGAAAAGTTTCCCCACATGTTTGGAAGCCCCCCCTCACTGTTCCCCTGCACCCCTCCTTCCCTCAGGCTCTGCCTTTGCCCAGTTCGAGACCCCTGAAGGGGCCCAGAAATGCCTCGAGGCTGCACAGGAGGGGTCTGAGGTGAGGGGAGACAACCCCAGGGACACCAGAGACCCCCTCAGGGGCCCACCCCGGGGGTGGTCCTCCAGGGGGGCTCAGGAGCAGCTTTGGGTTGGGTTTGGGGGATTTTGGGGCTCCCTTGGCTGGGTTTGAGGTGTTTGGGGACCTGTTATTTGGCTGGGTTTGGGTTGTTTGGGGACCTCTCCCTGGCTGGGTTTGGGGGGTTTGGGGGCCTGTTCTTTGGCTGGGTTTGGGGGATTTCTGATAGTTTTGGTCCCTCTACTGGCTGCTTTTGGGGGATTTAGGGGAGTTTAGGGGTTTGGAACCCCCCACTGTGGGTTTTGGAGGGGTGTGGGGGGGTTGGGGGCTGAGATTCTGGGGAGTGTTGAACTGTTCCCTGCAGCTTGGATTTGAGGGGACGTTTGGGGCATCCCCAGCCCGGGGTTCTCCTGTCTGGCACAGGGGGTCCCAGCCACCCCTGACCCCCCCGTTTTGCCCCCCCAGGGTGGGGGGCTGCGCCTGGACGGGCGGGTGCTGCGTGTGGACCCCGCCCTGAGCCGGGACCAGGCCCAGCAGCTCCGGGGGGAGTCGGGGGGGGCCCGGCCCAGAACTGGCACCAGGAACCTCTACCTGGCCCGGGAGGGGGGTGAGTGACGGACTTGGGGGGGCTCAGGCACCATAACACCCCTCACTGCCCCTCCTGAACCCCCACCTTTCCTGAATCCCCCCCATCCCCGTTTTCTCCCAGTCCCCTAAATCCCCCTCAGCCTCCAAACACCCCAATCCCCCCAAATTCCCCCACCTCCCCGCCCCCCAGCCATCCACCTGCCAGGACTCTCCCGCTCCCTCCGAAACTCCTCAGAGCCCCGTGTAACCCCAGATCCCCAAACCCACCCTCCTCTCGGGCTCCCACCATCGCCCTGACCCCAAATCCCCAAATCCTCCCTGACCCCCAAATCCCCCTGACCCTGTTTCCCCCACCAGCCATCCGCCCGGGCTCTAAGGCTGCCGAGGGCGTCAGCGACTCCGACATGGCCAAGCGGGCACGGGTGAGTGGGGTGAGAGAGGGGGTGAGAGGGACCCCCTGGGGGGGTGAGAGGGGACCCCCTGGGGGGTGAATGGGAGGGAGGTGTCCCCCCTGACCCCCCCTATTCCCCCCAGTTCGAGGAGCTGAAGCGGCGGCGGCTGCAGGACCCCAACGTGGGGGTGTCCCGGACCCGGCTGTGCCTCCACAACCTGCCCAAGGCCCTGGACACCCCCCGGCTGCGGGCGCTGCTCCGGGGGGTCCTGCAGCACAACGGGGGGAAGCCCCCACACATCAAGGAGGTGAATCCTTCCTGTGTCTCCCCCCAGCTCCTGTTCACATCGTGCTGTGCTCTGTGTTCTCCCCTCTGGCGTTTGGGGGTGCAGGGGGTGGGGGTCTCCTGGTGTGGGTTTGGGGTGCAGAGCAGGTTGGGGGTCCCCTGTACACCCCGTGTGTTCCCTGTGTCCCCCCAGGTTGGTTTCAGGTGCAGGAGAGGTGGAGGGTCCCCTTTTGGTGTCCCACTCTTGGGGGGATTTTGGGGGTGCAGAGGTGGGCGGTCCCCTGTGGTTGGTGTCCCGCCAGGGGTGGGGGATGTTGGGGTGCCCTTGGGGATGTTGGGGTTCTCCAGGGTGGTGTCATGGGGTTTTGGGGTGACTCCATACCCACCGTGCCAGCGCCAGGTGATGTGGGAGCTGTGAGGGGGTATTGGGGTGACCGGGGGGGTTTTGGGGTAACCCTTAACCCCCCGTACCCTCATTGCAGTGCCAGGTGATGTGGGGGTCGTCGGGTTGTCCCAGGGGTTTTTGGGGTGACCCTGTACCTTCCGTACCCCATTTCCCAGTGCCAGGTGATGTGGGAAATGCAGAGGGTGTCGGGGTGTCCCAGGGTGTGCTGGGGTGACCCCGGGGAGTTTTTGGGGTGACCCTGTCCCCTCTCCCAGTGCCGGGTGATGCGGGAGCTGCGGGGTCAGGGCCAGTCTTTGGGGTTCGCTTTCGTGGAGTTCGGGGAGCACGAGGAGGCTCTGGGGGCCCTGCGGCGCCTCAACAACAACCCCGAGCTCTTCGGGCCCCACAAGGTCAGTTCAGGGGGCCTGTCCCCCCCTTTGTGTCCCCCCCCTTTGTGGGTGCCCTGTTTCCAGCACCCAGGGCTGCCCCTCGTGTTTGAGGACTGGGACCCTCCCAGAGCTGCCCCCAGGAATTCATGGTACCCCCCCAAGGTGTTCTAGGCTGTCCCCAGGGTTTTGGGGTACCCCTGGATGTACTGGAGGGGGCCCTGGGTGTTTTTGTGTTCCTCCCGGGTTTTGGGGCATCCCTGGGGGTTTCAGCGTGCCCCCATTGTTTTGGGGTGCTCTGGGGGTTCTGGGGTGCCCCCCTCGGGTCTTGGGTGCTTAAGGGTCTTCTGGGTTGCCCCCAGTGCTCCAGGAGGGGTTTTCTGGGGTTTCCCCCCTCAGTTCTGAGGCCCCCCCTGGATTTTGGGGTACTCCCATCTTGTTGGGGTACCCAGGGTGTTCTGGGTTTCCCTGGACTTTTAGATAGGTTTTGGGGGTCTCCCCCTGTGTTTCAAGGTGCCCTCACAGTGTTTTGGGGGAGGTTCTGTGGTGTCCTCCCAGTTTCAGGGCTCTACCCCGTTTTTGGGGTCCCCCCCTGGTGCTTGGGGGGGTTCCTGGATGACCCCTGGTTCCAGGGTGTTTCAGGGGATTCCTGGGTGCCATCTCAGATTCGGGGCTCCCCCTTGGTTTTGGGGTGTCCCCTGGTGTTTGGGGGGGGTTCCTGGATGCCCTCCCTGTTCTGGGGTGCCCCCCTCATTCTCAGGGTGCCCCCCACGCTCTCGCCCAGCGCCCCATCGTGGAGTTTGCCCTGGAGGACCGGCGGAAGCTGCGGCTGCGGGAGCAGCGGATCCAGCGCGGGCTGGTACGGGGTGGGGGGGAGGAGGACACCCCTTTTAACCCCCTGAACCCTCCAGGGGGCCCCCCCAACCTGGGGCACCCAGCACTCACCCCCTCCTTCCCCCCAGCTCAAGGCCAAGGCGAAGGCGGCTGAGTCTGCAAGAGCCTCGGAGACCCCCAAGGGACCCACAGAGCCCCCCAAGGGACCCACAGAGCCCCCCAAGGGCTCGGGTGGGCAGGCCCCTCCCAGCAAGGCCCCTCCCAGCAAGGCCCCCCCTGCCAAGGCCCCCTCGGGCCCCCCCGGGACCCCCTGGGCCGGGTTCCGCACGCAGGGCCCGGGGGGGCGGGGGGCACCCGGGACCCCCCGCAACAAAGTGCTGGCAGTGCCCTCGCACCGGGGGCCCAAGATCAGGTAAGGAGGAGGCCTCCCCCCAAATCCTTTCCCCTCCCCTTTTTTCCCCCACCCCTTTTCCCACCTCCTTGTTTGCCCCTTTATTTCTCTGCTTGTTTTTCTCCTCTTTCCACCCCCCGCCAAGACCCCCTCCCATGGGGGTCTCTCCCTCCCTGGGAACCCACTGGGGGAGGGTCTCAGGGGTTCCTCCCAACACTGTACCTTGCCTTTCTCCTCCCAGGAAACGGGACAAGGGAAAGGCACAGCCCCTCTCTCCAAAGCCCCCAAGCCCCCCAAGGCCTCTCGGCGGCGGGAGAAACAACAGGAGACCCCTCCCCAGGTAAGAATTTGACAGCTCACACCCCCCCCCACCCCGAGATGATTTTGAGGTTCCCCATCTCCTTGGATCCCTGCCATGGTGTCCTCCCCCCTCTGGCTCTGCCTTGGTGGGGTCTGGGGGTGTTTGTGTGTCAGGGCCCCCCCTCACCCCTCTCTTTCCCCCCAGAAGCAGCGGCGGCGCCGGGGGGGTCCCGGGGGGTCCGAGGCCCGGTTCAACGAGCTGGTGGAGAGGTACAAGAGGAAGATTTTGGGGAACCACCCCACCACAGCCCGAGGGGGCAAGTGGTTTGAGAGCTGAGATTTCCCCCCCCAGCACCCCTAACTCCCCCCCAGCACCCCAACCCTTCCCCAGGAGGTGCTGGGGAGATCGCAGGCCCCAAACCCCACAGTGGGGGGTTTGGGGTCTGTGCTGGGCAGTGGGACCTACCTAACCCTGGCCCCCGCTGCCGGGGTTTGGTGGTGCCACCCCCATCCTCACTGCCTGCTCCTGGGTTTTAATAAAAAAAGTGTATTTTGTGGACAATATGTCCCCTTGGCATGCCCCCACCCCCACCCCTGGGACCCCCTGGCATCCCAAAACATCACCCCTGAGCCCCTCCCTGGGTACCCTAGCAGCCCCTCACCTCTGGCCCGGGGCACCCTCACCCCCGTCCAGCTCTGGGTGCTGTGGGTGCAGCCCCCTGGCTGGGGGTTGGGGGGCTCCCAGGGAGGGGGTGAGGGGCAGAGGTGGGGCTGGCGTGGTCCCCAGGGAAGGGGGCTGGGAGTGGGGGCTGGAGGGACTTCAGGCAGGGTGGTGGTGGAGACACCCCCCAGGGGGAGTTTGGGGGGCTCAGGGGGTCCTGCGTGTTTGGGGGTCCCACGGGGTCAGGGATTCCAGGTGGGTGGGGGTCTCGTGGGTCGGCCTGGCCCCCCATCACCCCACATTCCGGTGACGCCCCTCCCACCCCGTGCTGCCTGGCACACGCCAGGTCCCGGTGAGTCACGGTGTGGCCGTGGCCAGTGGCCACGAGCCTCTGGTGGCCCCGCAGCGTGAGGGACGTGAGCCCGGGGGTGGCACTGACCCACGGCCACCCACGGTCACTCCCCCGCCTGCAGTGCCTGGAGGGGAGGCCCTGGGGGGTCTCTGGGTGGGGACAGGGGGGCAGGGCTGTGGGGACACCCCTGGGCAGGGGACACCCAGTGCCACCCGTGTGCTTAGGTGTGTGACCCTGTGTGTGTCCCTGTGTCAGGGTGGCAGGGAGGGGCCTCTGGGTGCCATTCCTGACCCCCATCCCTGTCCCCTCCTTGTCCCCCTGTCCCCCTGGTTTTTCCCCTCTATCCCTCTTTCCCCCACCCCATCCTCCCTGCGTTCCTGTCACCTCCTCCTCGTGTCCCCGCTTGCCTCTCCTACTCCCCCTCCTTGTTCCCCTCTTTCCCCTCCTCCTTATTCCCGACCTTCTTGTCCCCTTCCCTGTCCCCCCTTCCTTGGGTGGGCACCCCAAGCAACCCCCTCCCCCGTGTGTCCCCATGTCCCCCCCCGGCCAGAGGTGTTGGGATCACACCAGGCCAGGGGGGGGGCCACAAAGCCACCGACCGACTCATCAACCACCTCTGAGTCACCAGGGCCGTGTCCCCACATCACCCCCTGTCCCCCCCACCGGCTCCTGGAGGGGTCTTGGGCCCCACAGTCCCGTGTCCTCGCGTGCCCCCGTGTCCTGAGGGGTCCTTTGTCCCTGATGTCCGGTGTCCTGAGGGTCCCTCGTCCCCACGTGCCCCTTGACACAGAGAGTCCCAGTTCCTGGGGTGGGGGTTCCCTGTCCCAGGGGTGTCCCCAGGGTGTCCCTTATCCCCAGGGAGTCCCTTGGTCCTGCAGCCCTTGTCCCCCTTGTTGCCCTGTGCCCCTTGGGGTCCTTTTGTCCCCTCGGGTCCCTTGACCCTGATATCCTGTATGTCCCTTGACCCCGAGGGTCCCTTGTTCTGGGGGTCCCATGTCTCCTGTGTCCCCCCATGTTACTTGGGGTCCCTTGTTCCTCAGGTGTCCCTTGTCCCCCATGTGCCCCCCCCACCCCATGTCCCTTGTCCCTGGGGTCAGCAGACATAACTGAGGCTGCTGGAAAAGGGGCTTTATTTTAAATTAAAGTCAATAAATAAAAATACTTAAGGGTAATAACAAATAATAATAATAATAATAATAATAATAATATAATAATGTAGAAAAAGAGGCACTGGCAGCAGCAGCTGGAGTCACTCCAGTGGCTGGGGACAGTTGTGGGGTTCCATGTGATCTGTGGGGGGTCCCAGAGAGGTCCTGTTTGTGACTGTGGGGTCCTGGGAATCCCTGTGGGGGTCCACGGGATCCTGGTGGTGTCTGTGGGATGGATCGTGGTGGGACCCGGGTGGTCCTTGTGGTGTCTCCATGGGGTCCTGCTGAGGTTGGTGGGGTCTGTGGGGTCCCAGGAGCCCTCGTGGGGATCCTGCTGGGGTCTTGGTCACGTCCATGGGTTGTTGGGGGGGTCCTGGGGGTCCCTAACAGGCGGGCACCTCCTCGAGGTGGGCGGCGATCCCCTCCAGGCACCCCTGGAGCCGCGCCAGGGCCACCCCGGCCACCGTGTGGGAGCCTCGGCCAGCGGGGCCGGGGGGCCGGGGGGTCGCGAGGCGGGGGCAGCCCAGCAGGGCCCCCAGGACCCCCAGGAGGCTGCGCAGGTTCTCCAGGTCGTTGGCCACCTGGGCCAGGCGCAGGTCGCCCCGGCCACAGCCCCCAGGAGCCGCTGGAACAGCTGGAGCCGCTGGGCTGCGACCCCAGCCCCGCCAGGACCCCCTCCGGGACCCCCTCCAGGCCGGTGACACGCAGGGTCAGGGGAACAGCTGGGGGACACAAAGTGGGGGACATGGGGGGTTAGGGCGAGGGCTGGGGCGACAAAGAGGGGGGTTAAGGCAGGGGATTGGGGGCACAAAGCCGGGAGAGGTTGGGGCAGGGGGTGCTCCACCTGCTCGGGTGGAGCATTCAACCCGGGGACTCTCCCTGGGGACCCCCAGTTTGGGGCACAGAGCCCTCCCCCTCAGCTATGGGTATCCCCCTCCTTGGGGATCCTGCATCCCTTGGGGCACAGACTCCCCTTCCCAGGGACCCTCATCCCTTGGGGCACAGAGACACCCCCCTCAACCCCCCCATCATTCCCTGGGCTCAGAGAGGCCCCCCCCAACCCACCCAGTCACAGGCCCCTCACCCTGGGACCCCACACCCTGGAACCCCCCCATGAGAGACCCTACCACCCAGTCTAGGGCACAGCCACCCCCTCCTTTGCCGGGTACCCTCCGACCGCTCTGTGGCACAGCTGCCCTCCAGCCCCCTCCCCCGGGGACCACTCCAAACCATCCCCAGCCCCCTCTGAGTCCTCCCCGGGGGTCCCTCCTCACCCCCCCCCGGGCCGGAGGGCACCTGCAGCTGCTGGAGGCGGGTGCTGAGGGTCCTGGTGAGGGTCCGGGCGTCCCCACGGACCCTCTCGAGCCGCACGGGGCGACCCCCGGCCACTGCTACCCCCAGGCACAGGAGCCCCCACAGGGACACGCCGGGACACCGCATCCCGCCGGGATCTGGGGACGGGGGGGGGACACAGCTGTCACCAGGGGCGTCCTGCCCCCCGGCACATCACCAGGGACACGGGAGGGGACGGGGACGGGACGGGACGGGGCGACACGAGCAGGGACAAGACAGGTAACCAGGGACATGGGGGCAGCGGCGTCGGTGGCACATGGACTCGCTGTGTCACCGTGCCACCGTGTCCCCGCCGGCACGTGCCGCTCGGGCCGTGTCCCTGACGCCTTCCCGGAGCCCTTTGGCACCGGTCACCGCGGCCACCACGGCCACCACGGCCCTGGTCGTGAGCAGGACCGTGCAGAGGGACAGTGTGGGTGCGGGACACTGCTCTGAGGGGCGAGGGGTCGGGGGGAGGGTGGGCAGGGGCCACTCTGTCCTCGGTGGGAGGCACTGGGGTGACACCTGGCCTTGTCACCCACTGCCTGGGGCTGGGGGGCAGGGATGTGGGGACACGGGGACGGTGGGGACGTGGGGATGGGGGCACAGTGCCACTCACCAGAGCCTGCCTCGCACCCACTCGCTGAGCCTGGAAGGAGAAAGCAAGGGGGGGGACACAGTAACAAGGGGACACGGGAACGAGAGCCATGGGGACCCCCACCAGGACACCCCTCCCTCCAGTGTCACCACCCCACCGGCCTGGAGAGCGGGGGAGGGGGGAGCAGTGGCCCCTTGGAGCATCCCCCACGTTCCTGCAAGGCCGAGGGACAGAGCTGGTGGCACTGCCGTGGCCTGGCCAACCCCCAGGGGACAGAGGGCAGTGAGGGGGGGCCGATAGGGATAAGGGGGTGCCCAGATACTCCCGGGGGGGGTCCCATGGTGGAGGTGTTCTGGGATAGAGCGTCTCAGGGTGGGGGTCCCCAGGAGAAGGGGGCCCCAGGGAGGGGAGTTGAAGTTGTTCCCCGTGCAGGAGGGAGTTTGGGGATGCCCGGGGGGATGTTGGGGTCGCCTGGTGATGGGGGGGTGGTTTGGAGGGTGTCGCGGTGCTGGGGGTTCAGGGGGTTGTGCTCACCTGGTCGCCCGCGGAGTCCGTCCAGTGGCGGTGGTGGCTCCATCGGTTCCATCCCCTTTATAGCGCCGGGGCAGTTGCACAACGTGTCCGTCCGGCCCCCCGCGCCCCCGGCCGCGCCGGGCCGTCTGTCTGTCCGGGGATGCTCCGAGGGGGCAGGATGTCCCCGGAGGAGGGGAGATGTACGAGAGAGTGAGGGGGACTCCCGGGGATGGTCCGTGCAGGGGAACTGGGGACACTGAGATGACCGGGGGTGGCACAGGGAGGGCAGGGGGTCCCAGGACACAGCAAGCACAAGGGTCCCCAGGTGCACCGAGCACAGGGGATTTGGGGGCACTGCGACCACCACAGGTGTCCCGGGGACACACGCGGAAGGCAGGAGTTGTCCCGGGAGTGGACTGAGCGGGGGGGATCCGGGGGTGGCCGGGGATGCACCGAGCACCGGGGCGTCCCAGGGGGTTCCCGGGTGCACATTCCTCCCCGCGCGTATACGTGCCCAGGTGAGCGCAGCCCCGCGTGTGCCCCGTGACACATCCCGCGCGCCGTGACCGCCCGCACACGCGACCGCGCCCACCCCCAGGACATGCCCCCGGGTCCCCACACCCCTGGAGTCCCCCTGTCTTTTCCCACCTTGTCGTCCTCCCACCTCGTGTCCCCACACGCGCCTCGTGTCCCCCCCTCTGTGTCCACCCCCCACCTCCATGCCCTGCCATCTCCGTGTCCTTCCAACCCCACGCCGTGTCCCCACACCCCTCCACAATCCCCCCCGTGCCCCTCGATATCCCCCCAGTCCCTCGCGCGTGGCAGAGACCCCCCCACCCACGCACACACCTGGCACACTGTGGGCACAGGGACGGCATCGATGTCCCCCCGCAATCGCCGTGAGCTGGGGGAGGACCCCACTGCGGGGTGCCCTGGGGGCACACGGGGACAGGTGCTGTCCCCTCTGGCAGGTGACACAGGACAGAGCCCACCGGGGGGACCCCAAATCCATACGGGGGGCCGAGGATCCCAGGGAATCTCTGCAGCACGGGTGGGTGCTGGGTGTGGAGGGCTGGATGGTGTCCCCAGGTGTCCCCGTGTCCCCATGGATGCCGGAGCCCCCAGACCCGTGTCCCCCCATCCCTGGGGACACCACCGAGGTGACACGGGGGGGAAGGGAGGTGGGTTCTGTCGGGGGACACGGAGGACCCCCCCCAGTGTCACTGGGGGATAGAGGGTGGCCCATGTCCCCACCACCTGTCCCTGTCACATCAGGGTGTCCCCAGAGCACGGGGTGTCCCCAAACCGTGTGCCCAAGGGGCTGCCCAGCCGCCGGAGGGTCGGGGTGCCCAGGCAGGGCTGTCACCACTCTGGTGACACAGGAGTTGGTGTCACCGTGGTGGTGACACTTGGCAAACACTGTGGTGGCCCTTCCGGGAAGGCTGGTGGTGACACTGGTGACACCAGTGCCCGGCAGCCACTGGCAGGGGCCCAGGTGGCCACTGCGGGGACACTGGGAACACACGGGGTCCCCCACAGCCAGCACAGTGACCTGGGTGATGTCACTGTGTGCCACCCCCAGCTGGCATCCCTCGTGTCTCCAGTCCCTGTCACTTCCTGACCAGAGTCACTTGTGTTACCAGTGCCTGTCCCCAGTCCCTGTCACCTCCTGGACAGCACCTCTTATGTCCCCAAGCCCTGTCGCCCCATAACCAGTGCCACTCGTGTCCCCTGTCCCCATGCCCTGTCCTCAGTCCCTGTCCACCCCCTGCAGTCAGTGTCACTTGTGTCCCCTGTCCCCAGTCTCTGTCCCCACCCCCAAGCCCTGTCACCTCGTAGCCAGTGTCACTCATGTTCCCAAAACCTGTCCCCAGTCCCTGTCCCCTGTCCCTGCAGCCACTGTCACTCATGTCCCCGACCCTGTCCCCCCCCACAGCCAGTGTCCCCCGTCCCTGTCTGGGCCACCCACCCCTGCCGAGTGCCACCACAGGGTGACATGGCCACGGGGAGGGGCTGAGGCGGCTTTGGGCACCCAAACTGGGACCACTGGGAAGTCGTAACCCCCCCACACACCTGCTCAGTGTCCCCCCAGGACCCACAGTGTCATCCCCCCACACCCTGGAGTGTCCCCAGTGCCACCCCACATGCCCCTGAGGGAACCCTCGGTGTCACCCCCTCCCAGTGGTCCCAGCCATGCCAAGAACTGGGGTGGTTTCACGGTCCCCCCACCCCCAACTCCTGCTGTCCCTGTGCCCCTGTCCACACTGTCCCCTTGCTGTCCCCAAACCCAAAACCGGGGAGGGTTTGGTGCCCCCCACCCACCACACTCACCTGTGGTCCCTGGGGGTCCCCGCTGGCTCGACCCCCCGCAGATGCTTTTTGGGGTAAGGGCTTCCTGGCTGGGGGAGGGACAGCAAGCCCAGACCGCAAAAAGACCCGAGAGGGACAGGGATGGTGGCCCCGCGGTGGCGCCACAGTGACGAGGTGACAAGGAGGGACGATGACGGGGACAGGCGGAGCCCCTGGGGACGGGGCCTGTGGTGGCACCGAGGTCCCCGCCAGGCCCAGGCTGACCCCTGTGCTTGGGGGGGACAGGACAGGGTGCCATCCCCTGTGTGCCACCCACCATGTGCCACCACCACGTCACCCCCACCACGTGTGCGCCGCTGCAGCACAGGCACCCGCGGGAGATGGCACAGAGGGACAGGGGTGTGGCCCAGAGGGACAGGGACATGTGACAGCACAATGGCGTTGTGGCACAGAGGGACGGGGACACGGCAGGGAGTGACAGGGACGTGCAGAGACACACGGAGAGGTGGCACAGAGGGACAGGTACATGACATGGAGTGAGAGGATGTGACACAGCGAGGGGACGTGGCACAGAGCGATGCGGAGGTGGCACAGCCCCGTGGGGACGTGGCAGAGTGGCACAGAGCGACAAGGATGTGGCATCGAGCAATGGGGATGCAACAGAGCGACAGGACATGGCACAGCGTGATGGGAACGTGATACAACCCCATGGAGATGTGGCACAGAGTGAGGGGGGACGTGGCACAGGGCAGTGCCCTCAGCTCCCTGCCAGAGCATCCCAGGCGCCCCCAGGCTCCTCTTCCTCAGCCACCGCAGAGCCAGGGACGGCAGGAGGCCACCAGAGGTGCTCGGTGTCACCGTGGTTCTGAGTGTCACTGTGGTTTATCCGTCCTCCAGGGCCATGGGGACGTGGCTGATGACTGACCCGGCCCTGGTGGCCTCGGCTGCGTGGCAGTGCCCGGATTTCGGCGTCTCTGAGCCGTGTCCAGGGCCGGTGGCAGGATGAGGCCGTGGCTCCGTTGGCTCCAGGGTCTGTGGCTCCAGGGTCTGTGGTTCCATGACCGGTCAGTGTCCCCAGCTCAGGGTCCTGGTGGTGTGGAGGTCCCTGAGGGCCTTTGGGTGGGGACCACCCATTGGTGGCAGCTCTGGGGTTGATGTGGAGGTGCCACCCCAGGGACAGCTGGGAGTGGCTCCAGGGCCATCCTTGGGCTGTCAGGTCCCTGCCAGTGTCACCTGGGCCTGGGCTGAGGTGGCACCGTCACGTGCCAGCAGTGAACATGTCCCTGCTCCCTCCCACCGTCACCACCCTGCTGTGGCCCTGCTCCATCCCATGTCCCCGTCTCCCCACCCCATGTCCCCATCCCCATCCCGCATCTCTGTCCCCACCCCATGTCACCACCTCCATCCCATCATCTCCACTCCATGTCCCTGTCCCCACCCCATTGTCCCTATCCTGCATCCCCATTTCCATCCCATGTCCTCACCCTGTGTCCCCCTCCCCATCCCATTATCCTTGTCCTCACCCCACGTCCCCGTCCTCACCCCATTTCCCCATTCCCACCCCACGTCCCCATCCCCATTCTATTGTCCCCACCCCGCAGCCCCAACAAGCTGCAGGACGGTGACACTCCCCCGGTGCCATCCCCCCATCCCTGTGTCCCCCCAGGAGAAAGTGGGACAGGCTGGGGGACACGGCTGAGGCCACCACGCCCTTGTCACCCCCCAGTCCTGGGGGAGCCCCGTTTTGGGGGGACAGAGGGGATGGAGAGGACATTCCTGGGTGGCAGCGGCCGTGCCGTGCCAAGCTGTGCCGGGAGGGCTCTGGGGGGATGCTCGGAGGGGTCTGTGGGGGACACAGAGGGGTCCTTGCCAGGTGCCAGCGCCCGGGGGTGGCTGCGGAGGTGACGGTGACGGTGACAGTGGCCATGCGTGGCACAGACCTTTCTAGACGGCCAAGGCTGATTTTGGGGTCCCCTGGTGTGGGGAGGGAGGTGCCGCCCCTCAACCCTCCCTTCATGTCCCCACCCGTGCAGGGGGCTTGGTGTGACCCCCCCCAAGCACTCGTGGAGCTGGGGGACCCCCCTGGCAGAGGGGACGTGGGGGGGCTGCGGGATGGGGGGGCAGGGAGGGGCACCCGGGGTATTGCAGGGGCTCCCAGCACTCTGGGGGCTGAGGAGCACTGGGGGCAACCCTGGGGAACAGCACATGGGGGCAGTGGGGGTGACACCTGGGGGTCCAGGGGCGTTTGAGTGGGGAAACATGGCTAGGGGCAACTGGGGCAAAGTGGGGGTCCTAGACCAGGGGGTCGGAGGCAGGAGGGTCCTGGGGGTGCAGGGGGTGAGGAGGGGGTGTGAGAGCACAGGGGTCCCAGGGAGCTGTGGGGAGCAGAGGGTAAGGGGTCCCGGGGCTGTGGGGACGGTGCTCGGGCGCTGGAGGGGTCTCCTGTGCTGCGGGGTCCCGTGGCACGTGGGATGCAGGGGATCCCTGGGGGCCCTGGCAGGGCCCCCTGTGCCGCTACGAGGGCCGGCGGGGCGGGGGATCCCGGGAGCGGGTCAGGCCGAGGTGGG